GGGGTGGGTGTTTTTTTTTTCTTTTGTTTGGTGGAGTTGTTTTTTTTTTTTACGTTTAGGAAGCAACTAAGTATTAAGCTCTCTTTGTGTTCAGTAAGCTAAATCAATTCTAGGTAAGTCTTGTATTTTCAAAGAGGAGGACACAGTATAGCTAAGACTTACTCTTTTTTCCTTTCCTAGAATCAGTACGGAGCTTGCGACAGAGCACGCTAGCCAAGCGTTCAAATGTTGCACCTCTTGTTAATACCAAGAAATCATCTGTAAAAAGTGGTTCTGCTCCAAAGAGTGGACAGAAACAAGAGAGAAGTCCAGCCAAAGAGACAGATGTTGCTGCATCCTTGAAAACAGAGCAGCCTAAAGAAGTTAGGCGTAGTACAAGACGATCAGGGCAGACGGAAGGAACAGCAGCAGCAGTAACAGCATCCCAAAGTAATACAAAATGTCTTTCTGGTCCCGAAGAGGTGAATGAAATAAAGTCTGAAACCTCTGAGCAGGCAAAAGTTGAGGAAACATCCCAAGAGTTAAGTTGTACTAATGTAGCAGGAGCCTGTTCTCCTTCTCCTAGGGAAACAAAAGAAATAACAGAGGTTGCAACGAAGACTGAATCTGGGAATGCTGAGTCAGTTTGTTTAGTATCTGCAGATACTAAAATTCCTGCAGTTAAACATGAAGCAAATGATGTGATTGGTTCAGTGGGCTCTGAAACTTCTTTAGAAGAAAAGACTGAAAATAAACCAGAAGAATTGGAGAAGACGGAAGAGCATGATCAAAGTGGAGTTACTGCAAAAGCTGATGATCCATCTAGTGCTTGTGTGAATCCAAGTGAAATTTGTGAGACCTTTTCAAATTTGTCCAGCTCTGTAGAAGAAGGGGTTGACTGTAGTTTAGGTTCCCATAATGTGGAAGTTCCTGATGAAAATATGTTGTCAGTAAAGGAATGTGTAACAGAACCTGTAGATAATGACAAGGGAATGGAGAAAACTGTAACTTCATCTGAGAAACTATTGGACAGTACAGAGTTCAATAATAAAGACTTGAAAAGCAAAGAGTTAACTTCTGCTGACCAAGGAAATAGCAATTTAGAAAGCACTGTTCTTGACCAAACAAGCCAAAAAGTACAGCAGCAGATCAGCAGTACTAAAGTAGAAGGCTCTGAGGCATCAGAATTTCAGGATGATGATAAACAAACTACCATTGCATCAAAATGTGAAAAGAATGTTAGGCCTCGGCATAGTAAATCTGTAATACAGAATAAGCAAAATCTGACTGCAGGTCCTCGACAGAAATCAGATACAGTGCAACAAGAAATAATTCGTTCAAGAACAAGAGCTGGACTTACTGTTTCAGGTCTTCACAGTCCATCTTCAGCAAGTCTGAAGCGGAATGCAGATGAGCAAGAGAGTCATCAGCACCCAAATAACCCAGTTAAAATTAGGAAGAAACAATCTGATTTGGGTTTGAAAGCAAAGAGCTGTGTTTCAGGGGTGACTGTAAAAAAGCAGACCAATACAATGCTGAAGAAAATACCCCGAGTCCAGGCTTCTGGGCAAGTACAGAAGTCATCAATTCAAAGAGCAAGTGAGAAATCTCCTACTCATCAAAGCTGTTCTAAAGATACACACCACTCTGTGCAGTCATTATCAGGGCATGTTTCAAATCTTGGTCAGAAGCAAGCCCAAGGTCAGAAACACCAGCTTGCAACTGTACTAAAAACAAATAGCTCCACAAAGGAGGAGGCAGAGACAAAAGATCCTCCTGTTGTAGAACATCTGAAGGAGGATGATAAAGAAAAAAACAAATCAAAAAGAATTGATAAGAATCTCCAGCCTCGACAGAGAAGAAGTAGCAAAAGTCTTTCACTTGATGAACCTCCATTGTTCATTCCAGATAACATTTCAACTGTTAAGCGGGAAGGCTTGGAACATACCTCTGCAAGTGAAAGCAAATATGTTTGGGTGCCCAACAAGCAGTGTGGCTTTTGCAAAAAGCCACATGGCAACAGGTGTGTGTGGCTTTGTGTCTAAGGAATTTATTATTGGTCTCAAAAGATAATTCTTTTTCTCTCTTGCCAAATACTTCATACTGCTGGTGCCAAAACAAAAAACCTTTATAATGGAATCCTGTCTGTTATACTGTCAATTGATTAATTTTTCACTCATACACTTTTTTGTCTTTTAGATATTTTACTAGGAATGTTTTATTATATGAATACATTTTTTGATGAGTGTGTAATTCTGCTGTGCTGTTAAAATACGTACTTTAAACTTGACTTTTCTTTCATAGAAAAGAAATAAGGCTAAGATGTCTGTGTTCCAGATTCTCATTTCCTTCTTTCCAGAGACATATTAAGTTGAAGGGCCACCATCAACTGAAAAAATCAATTAGCTGTTTACATGTGACTTCCCTTGTAGAAGTATGATTCAAATACCTAAGAAATTTAGAGTTTTTTTTCAATTTGTGTAATTGTTGTTGTGAGGCTCTTGTGTAACAAGAGTAATGAAGTAGTTGAGGGGGAGTGGAAGGGTAGGAAGAACATCAGTCTTAAAAAACCTCCATAAAATTTCTATGTGGACATATTTGAAATTGCCTTTAACTGAACCTAATAATGAGGTTGCATCTCAAGTTGCTAATATCCCTCTGTGACAAAAGTTATTCTTCTACACTCTAAGTGAACTGAAAAAGGCCTTTGAACTATCAGTCTGTCAATCCAAGAATAAGAATTCTGCTATTACCACTTCTTATTTTCTGGATTAAATATTCAAGTATTTTTTTTGTAGTTGCAGTTCCACCTGCTGATGTCTTTTTTTTTTTTTTTTTTTTTCCCCCCAAACTGAAGATGTTTCTGATTAGTCCTGTGAGAGAAACTTTTAATAGTAATTTTCAGTGAGTGTACTTTAGAACTCCACGTATCAAAGTGAAATATGGAACAATTACCTTTGGCGCCTGAGGTTTTTGTAGCGTTCATGTGTATCTAAGAAGAACCCTTGTGAGTTTTATTGGTTTTATTACATTATATTTTAAAAACAAATACATAAAATTCATTTACTGTGCAGCTATAGTAACTGCATAAATGTGGCCTATTAAAAGAATTAATGCTAGGTTTGCTCTGCCTAGTTGGTGAGAATTACCTCATTGAAGGGGCATTGAAACTTAGTTCTGTGTGGTTTTGTTTTTGTAAAAAAAATCCTTTTACTGTTTGGACTGTCCCTTTACCATTTGTGCCTCTCTAATAGTGTTTAATTTTATGCAGTTTGCATTTCCTTTGTTTTTATCATCTCATGTATTACCACAATGGTAGAAATACATGGGTAGCCTGTATTTCAATGAATTGTTTAAATTCAGAAAGGCTACTTCCTGATACAGAAATGCTTCTGTGGATATTTTTAAAGCAAAATACACATATTTGGGTTTTAAACTGCTTGGTATCTGTGCAAAATTCAGCTTTGAGTTGAACTCATCCTGGTTTTATATTTCTGCTAACATTTTAAACATTCTATAGGTTTTCTTTTTCTGAATGTGGTGTTAGAGTTCAGAAAATCTTGACTTTTAATACTAAGTGGATCTAACTGATACTGGGAGGATACAGCAGTGAGGCAGATCTAAATCTGCTTGTTTTCATTTATAAAGTCCAAGTAATGCTGCAGAAGATACATATACTATGCATTGATACAGGATTAAATGCAACAAACTGGTTTTGCACATTCCCAGCTCTTGCTTACAGTACTAGAAGAATAGTACAATATATGGATCACCAGCTGCGTGCAGATTGAGAGAGCCCATGAGTTGCCACAGATGATGATTACTGGTATTATTAAATTTGTAATGTCAGTCTCATTAAGGGTCTTTTTGCTATGTCTGTGTTACAAAACTGTAACTACAGTTTTAGTGGGAAAAGATCAGATTTGCTAAATGTAAAAAGGTATTTAGTACACAAGCACAGAATTTTTGTGTATAGAATGTTACTGGGATACACTAGTGGAGTGAGGAAGCTTGTAGTAATGGTCACATGCTTAATAACAGAAGACTTAAGACTGCCAGTCCAGCACTTTTTATCCTCACTATTCTAAAAAAAGAAGTTTAATTTCTTCAGATCACTTTTATTTTGTTGTTACAGGCCACAAATAAAAACTTAAACCTTTCAGATTCACTTGATGTCATTAAGGTGCAAGAGGAAGCAAAACTTGTATTTCAGATATCTTGGCATTTTGTACTTGTTTAATTATTGCTGCAAGAACAAGAAAACATTTTCAGAGTGGTGCAAAACAAAAAAAGCTTAACATTATAAATTTTACTTTTATCACTTGGAAAAACATCAAAACTATTGAAATTGACTATAGTGATAAGGTGTTTTTTATTTGCTTTGTGGATTGCTTTTCAAGGAATTGTTTCCCTTCTGTAACAGCCTAGCTGGTTGGCCTGTTTCCTCCCCCCTTCCC